ACTCTCTCTCCTCTCCTCTCCTCCTCTCTCTCGTCTCGTCTCTCTCTCTCTCTCTCTCTCTCTCTCTCTCTCTCTCTCTCTCTCTCTGTCTATCTCTCGCTCTCTCTCGCCCGGTTAAACATCTCCCCGTCCCTTTCCATCAACCGTCCCTTGCTTATCTTTTATCGCCAACTCTGTCGCTGTTCTTTTCTCCCCCGAGACTATTGTCCTCTCCCTTCCTTTCGCTCTTCTCTCTCCCTTCTCTCCTCCTCCTCCTCCTCCTCCTCCTCCTTTCTACCCTTGGCTGGATAAGCTCCTCCGGATGGCATGATGCGAGCGACAAGTATCTAGTGTTAGTCCAGCTTGGCACGGAACTTTGCCGAGTATTTCGCCAAGTAAATTCGATGCGGATCGACGAGGAAGGGAAGGGAGGGAGGGAGGGAGGGAGGGTTCGATAAACATCGGGGATAAATATCGCGGAAGATTTCTTCGCGTGGACGGGTTTCGATTTTTTGATTAATATTTTAAATCGGAAATCGATCGATTTTTAGACAATGTAGAATTCTCTCGGTTAAATTTCTCTCGCGCAAATTCTTTTCTCTTCATACATTCTCTCGAAATATTTATCGTTTAACGCGAAATACATATGTGTTGCACGCATAACGAGCAATCCCGGCGCATAATGCTTCTTATTATTCCTGCGTCTCGCTTTAAAAGGCTCGACCTATTTACCGCGATTGAATAAGAAGAAGAAGAAGAAGAAGAAGAAAAGATCAATAAAGAAAATCTCGCTTATTCACCAGAGAGCCGTCATTCGTGTCTCTAATTATTTCCAGCTGTTTTGTAACGTTTCGAACCGTTGTTGTGTAAATCAACCGCAAGATTTTTCAAAGAACGATCGATATCGAGGGAAAAGTTAAAATTTCCTTTCCCTCATTCTCAACAATCCATCGCGTTTATACACAGTTTATACACCACGATGGGATTCGCCTTCAACGGCCTTTAAATAATAACCGGTTAATACCCGGTTGATAAAATGGATCGCCACCTAAACAAGGAAATTGCGAGCGCGATATTGCGACACTTTCCTCCACCAGGCCGTTTCCGACTTTTTCCCCTCCTTCCCTCCATAAACTTCCGTTTTCACGCCGGTCCGCTCCATTCTCGCGCCGTTCTCCTTCCCTTCGCATTATCATCCGCGTTTTACTCCCCAACGGGCGACGAGAGAGGCGCGACAAGTGTCATCATCGTATTTGCGGCCGGGATCCTCTCCGTTTATAAACTCGTTTAATAAACTCCGTCGTAAAATCTTAAATTAATCCTGTACATTCATCTCCCGTTATCCGAAAACTGTGCCTCTCCTCTCGCTCGTGACGCGCACGTACACACACGTCTCGTCGTGCAAGTTGTGCGTCGTTACAGCAGAATTTGTTTATCCGGGCGCACGGATGGAGAAGAATGCACCGCCGCGTCGTCGTTATCCCTGCGTCTCGTTACCATTATCCACCATCCGGATCGCTTCGATCGTTTCTTTTTCTTTCCTTCTTTTTTTCTTTTTTACGCACGATGATCCTCTTCTCGAGATCGAAAG